TAACTCTCTCACTATGAGCATGTCCATTTGGCTGAATTCATTATCCCAAATTGACTTTTAAACCTCCTATATTCCTTTCCGAAACTTTCAGTAAACATTAGTCTTTTGTTAATAATAATAAAACTTAGGACTTTCAATGAAGTATTTTTACTAATAATGTCTCTATGAATATATGAAGTCAAAGTGTTGACTGCCCTGAGTTCAAAGTGATTTTGATAATAAGATTAAAAATAGTTTTCTTCATGTGAAAATTGTCAAATTTCATTTGTGTAATCTCTAAAACCTACTAAATAAATTTCAAATGTTTTTGTCAGTAAAACTTTATATTTTATCTGTTATTTTCTCTACTCTAACTTGATACAAGGTTGGTCAATTCAACAGAGTCCATATAAGTTAGAGTAAAGCAAATAACAAATAAATACAAGTATTACTGAGAAAAGTGATTTGGTAGTTATGTTGGAGGTTTTACAGGTTAAGAAAGTGAACTTTGAAAATTTTCAAATGAAACAAAGTATTTTTAATCTTAACATGAATATATCACTTTGCACTCGGAGCTGTAAACACTCTGACTTCACATATTCAGGAATAAATCTTTAGCAAAAATATTTAATTAAAAACCCAATTCTTTGTGTACAAAAGACTTCTTCTGTTTAATGAAACTTATCAAATTTATGAAAATTCAAAAAACATATATAAAAGTTGTAGTAAGGAAACTCTGATGGTTACTTTGTGATTACAAGGTGAATCACATCAACCAATCCTGTATGGAAAGAATTAACAATACACACAGATTTCATCTTAGGAACAATTTTTTATCAATGTTAAAATTAAAAATAAGTAATATACAAAGATATTTTTAATAATACAAGTTTAAGATTCGAAAAAGCATTTTCATACCTGGTTTTACAGCAGTAGCATCACCATTCGCCACTGGTTTTAATTCTCCAGTTTTAGCTTTTTCAACTAATTTTTTTCTCAGTTCCATCTGTATCAAAGAAAAACATAAGACTTATACTTAGTATACTATAAGTTCTTACTTTGCAGTTTTAATATATTATTACTTGCCAAAATAAATATTACTCTCCTTTTCTACACTTTGATCTTAATTTTGTTATAAAGATGTTAAGTAATTCTTTTGAGGTTTTTTAATTACACTTGAAATAAAATTATACAGTATACTGATTACCCCTATTAAGGCCAATACCTTTTTCAGTCATTTAGGATACTTTAACCTGGAAATATTTAACCAAGTTACACAAACTTTAACATTAAAAACTCACTAAATAGTATCTAGCTTTAACTTTTAAAAGAATAAAAACCTGATTAAGTATTTCTATCATTTTTTCTTGTGAAATTTCCAAAATTCTGTTGTGAGACGCAATAAAAACAAAAACAAAAAAAACCCATCAAAAATGCTTCTCTTCATCTTAGAATTTATATTTTTGATCAGAAATGTTCATCTTATATAACATTTTATTTCAATTAATATTTATTACCACCTTTTTCACTGATTTCAGTAGTCACCATTTCCAGTAATAACTCATAACAAATGTGGTTATATGGAAATTTATTGGGGACCTACAACCTGATCTTTCAAACTGGCTTCAATATTAAATTTGTCAGGCTAGGTATTATGATTTCTGCTAACAATAATCTTGATTCAGATCACTATAAACCTAATATACTTTTTCAATAAACAATTAACTATTTTATTTGTGCGTATACCTTGAATATGATAACCTTAACAATAATATACAATAAATAAGGATTTGGATCATCAGAAAATGTTGTTGTCATCTACTATACTCCCTGAACCTAATTAAGCTTACATGATGTCTTGTCACAGAAAACATTTTCAGGAATGAAAATAATATTCAAAGAAGTATAAAAATTTCCAGATCTGTGGATTGTTCCCAAGTCTTCCAAGTTTCCTGTTAGATTTCTTTGTTCACCCCTACTAGAGTTTCAGCTAGTCAACAGCCTGAGAGACATTAATTACTGCCCAAACCAATTTATTTACTCTACATTGATATAAATAGTTTCTATCCTGCTTTATCTGATTATATTCAAACAGTGCTTATAGTTATTTAAGGTTTAACTTCATTAGTTATTGTTCAGACCCTATAGCTGTATAAAATTATGGTTTTATAAGGTAAATAAGAAAAAAATTATGTCTAGGAAGTATTTTGTGTCCATACAGAATTATTGTTAACCAGAAATCACCACAAAATTCAAAATAAAAAAATATAAAAAACAAGTTAATGGTAACATGCAAATATCTAGAAATTTTTTGCCCAATTCAGCACTAATAGATGAGCTGACTTTAGATAAAACATTTTTTGTGAATCATTGTAAAGTTAATTCAAACTGTCTCTGCTAGGACTGGAAGGTTAAATCCAAGATACAAAAATGGTTTTCCTATCAGTTAATAAATAATAGATATTTTAAAGATGTGATTTATATTTACACGTAACCTAGCTAATTATGGCAATACATAAAGCTTTAATGTTACAAAAAGTACTGAAACAAGAAAGTCAAAACCACAAAACTGAGTAATTTAAAATTGAAAACATTTTATTGCAATTTTGGCTCAGACTAATAATTACAGTGATTTGCCAAAGTACAAATATTTTTATTTTTAGTAATTCAGTTTTTGTAGATTTGACTTTCTTGTTTCAAAACTTTTCTATATTATTTTAGCTAGGTAGCTAGATTATGTATATATCGATTCCAACTTGTCTTTATAATATTAATTTTTTATTATTATAGTCGTTTCTTTCATTTTATTATCTATATTTTTTTGTGCTAGCAATATCAAGCATGAGGCATGCATATACCCAATTGGATTTTATTACTCATCAAGATCTCTACCAACATACCCTCAAATCTCATTATATGTAAAAAAAAAAAAAAATCAGGACCCTAGACAGAAGAGATCTGTGAAAGAATTAGAGCGATAAGGTTTGTAATTTTTCTGTACGGCTGTCTGGGAAAGTCACTTCCCTACTTACTTATATGAAATGTCATTGAAATAGTGAAATTTTGATTCATTCCATAAACACGTATATAGTGATTTAGGCAGCTCTAAGTACAATAAGCTTTAGTTTTGCTCAGCCAATATTCAGACACTTTGAAGGTGGCTTTAAACCTTTCGCAATGGGTGCCTCTTTAAATGCTTTACTGCACAAGTCACTATGTTACATTCTAAATTTCATTAAACATTTTACTTTCAAGGTATACGAATAAAATTAATATTACAAGTTCTGATTCAAATTCTTATTTTACCAAAGTTTTAAGTCCTATTATTCAAAATAAACCTTTAAAAAATTACTTAAAACTTCAGATGTATTGTCATGTGACTAACACTATATGATAATTCTCTACTTTAGCTCTCTGTATCTTTAATAATACAATGGTATTTGGGTAGAGGTACGTATAGGCAATAAGATGCTTACATAACCTTTTGATTTGCATTTCAAGTTACAGTTAAACCAATGCCCACCTTCAACAGATTTGTTTGAGCTTTATAGTCAACATCTAGATGTTACATACACATGTGTAATAGTTATTAGAAAGAAATCATTTTACATTGTATTCTAACAACAGTTATTTTGAAATTGGCATGCAGCTGTCTTCATGTAATACATGTAATTGACTGTAGTATTATTGGCTGCTTAATCGTCTATAGCACTTAGGGTTCTTTCTTACCTAAATATGTTATAGTCAGAGATACAGTTTAAATTGTACTTAGGTCTTACTATTATATTTTAGTTAATTGTGTATTAGTTATGTTTTAAACTGCATAATTAAAAGGTTTAAACATTTATTAAATATACATCATACTTTGCATCCATTCTCAAAGCTTATGATATTATGTGCTGAACAAAAATATTGCTGAAGGGATGCACATATCTCCCAAAGAAACTGTAATATGCCTCAAGGGCACTGATGACTTGTGTCGTGATTAATAATAAGTGGTAAAAGACAAAAAACAAAAATAAAACATTTAAAATTAATTACAGTTAAATACAAAGGTATTCACCCCCTACAAAGTTTCCATATTTTGTTGCCATCTGAGTTTGCAATCATGAAACTTTCAAATGGGAGAAGGTTACAAGAAAATTTCAAAATTGCTGATTATCCCTTTGAGTACAGTGAAGCCCATCAACAAGAAGTGGAATGTGCTTCATACTACCCAGTCACTACACAGAACAGTCTGCCCTTCCAAACTAAACAGCCGGGCAAACAGGAAACTGGATAGGGATGCCACAGTGAAGCCAACAGTAACTTTGAAAGATTTGCAAAGTTCCATGTCTGAAATGGCAGTCAGTGTTCATACATCGACAATATTTCGGTCACTACACAAAGCTGGCCATTATGGGTGAGTGGCACGAAAGAAGACATTACTGAAAAAAAATCATGTTAAATCTTGTGTGGAATTTCCATCAAAGCATATAAATGATACTGCAGACGTGGCAGAATATTTTGTGGTCAGACAAGATCAAAATTTAGCTTTTTGGGTCTAAACTCAAAGCATTATGTCTGACGCAATCCCAACACAACACACAGTCAACACCATCCCAAAGAAAAAGTAGCTATGTTAATGCTATTACAACAATGATTTATGAAAAAGATCAAGAAAAGTGAATATCTTTCTTAAGCTACAATTAGGGAGACCATTAGTACATACTTATTAAGCAAAAAAAAAAAAAAAAAAA